GGAATGGATTATCCTTCATTGCCTGAAATAAATTCTTGGAACTATGAGCTTCTATAAATAACAGTGTGCCTCAATGTGTTAAACTAGCATTAATTAACTAGTAATAAATTATGAATTTATGTTTTTAATACATGTACTCTGTAATTTACACACATATTTATATATGTGTAAATATATATAAATATGTAATTACACACAACAACAAACTCTAATTACACACAACAACAAAGTACACATGTTATACTTTGTTGTTGTGTGTGTGTGCGGTTGTGGTCTTATATTGTGTATGGTTATATTATTCTTTGTCTGCTGCTGTTTTTTGATATATGTATGAAAATGTTGGGAACAAAAATAGCGTAAGTTACTTGAGTTAAATTAATATATACTTTTGTCTGATGTTATGGGCCTTTTGCTGTTGTGTCTCAGGATGTAAGCAAACTTTATAATCCATGCTAAATACCTTGATACAATGCATTTTAACACTGTCACCTACTTAGCATTACCAAACACACTCACTACACACGCGCACCTGTGAGACACTATTTATTGTAAATGAAGACAGCCAGCTTCTCCTTTTAACTACACTCATGGACACAATCGTATTTTAGGATATTTTCTACTTCTTTTCCTTTTCTTTCTATAGGCCCTTCCCCCCCCCCTCTATTATTTTTTTGGGGCTATTTATTTATTAAATTTTATTTTGTCCCATCTTTTCTTCCTGGCCTTTCGAACTTGTACAAAATGTACGAAGTTCCTTTTTACTCTCCTCTGAAATATGAAATTGCCCTCCTTTCTCTTTCCTTCGCACCCAGGCTTGATTTTTCGCCCATCGGTGCAGAAAGACGTAGCGTGTGCAAAATAAGACATCTGTCATTATGCGTTCCTAAATTATTAAATCTCTCGTAAATTATTGCGTTTCTTAAACGGAACAGTTTCCGCATGTGAGTGACGTTTTTTCCTTGAATGTCTCCTGTTTTCATGAGTTTATATCTTACGGAAACGGTCTTACTTATTGTTAAAATGAAACGTTACAAATTCTAAAGTATTTTTTTAGCCCAAAGGGCGATAACCCAGAAGAGCTATTAATTTCGTTTGGGCATTTAACTTTGAATCACTATAAACGGTGTATCACTTTTCAAACTGTTGCCACCAAATATTATTGCCATGTATTATATTTAAAGAAATTAATAATGTTGAATCTGCATGAATGTTTCTTGCATAAAAACAACGGCACCTAGAGCTATCAAATTTTCAATAACGTAATGTTCCACCGAATATGGGCCCTTGGAAGCCCTAATTTGGAATTTGTTTCATTACAGATTTCATATTTTCTAACACCTAAGCGAATTTTTGATTAACAATCTCAACGATTTCAAAGCGATCAACTGTAACATTGTACAAAAAACAAAAAAATTATTTTTACCTTCGGCGCCCGAGACTGTGTATCGGAAATTCTAAAGATATGCCGATTTTAAAATTATTTTGTGATATTGCTGTTAGATTGAATTTTATGGTTAAAGTGCAAAGAACATGATATTTGATTAATAAAGTAACACACAAAACGTTAGAAAAACGTCCCTTTGGGTGTAATGTAACATCTAAAAGCTTTCAGGTTTTTTTATATTTTATTTATTTTTTTCAATTATGGTTCAGTTTTATAAAAAAAAAAAATAACGGGGCTCATCTTATTTAGGGGGTCCGGTGCGGCCAGCTAGAACTGTAATTTATCTTATAAACTAAGAATGACCGGATTCGGACTCCAGAGCATTTTAAGCTCTGCCTTATGTAAATGGGGATGTAGTTATTACTGTTGGTATACGGGCTAATAGGGCGATAGACGTTGTAATCTGGGTGTGCTACGGAAGCCCTTCTCTCTTCTTCATGTGGACATGTAAGGATAGTGTTAAAAACTCTCTCGTAATGACCATTTATTGGAGCTTCTCTTAACATACATGAATGAAAAATCTATTGAATCGTTTTCACTTATTATTATGTATAATGTTTTCGTTTACAGTTTCGTGTACAATCGATTAATCAAGACTATGATGATGCTGGGCACTACCGAGAAGACAAGGTAAGAAATTGTTCTTTTCCCTACTTTGGTAACTTGTTGCAGAAATATTTATAACAGAAGATAATGAGACTGAATGGAAAATTATAGTTTGAATTTAAAAAAAAAAAAAAAAAAAAAAAAAAAAAAACTGTAAAGGCTAGACTGTAGTTTCATATCAAAACCGAAAATAAATTTAGAATGATACAAAAAATGTTGCATTCAAGTCAAATGCAAATAGCAAAACTGAATTCACCAATTATTCAGCGTGGAAATTCAAAAATGCAAATGCTACTTAAAAAAAAAAAAAAAGTATCTTTACGATGTAATCGAAGATATGCTTCGTATCCCTATTACAGAACAATGGAATCGATCGGCAATGTCGCGGAATGATAAATTTATTTATCGAAGACAGCCAGATAATTCATATTAAACATGAGACTACTGCTAAAGGCATCTGGGAAAAACTAAGGCTGGTACACGAAATGTCTGATATTTTAAGTAAACTATTTCTTTTTATGAAAGCTTTACGGTTTGACGCTTGAGGAAAACGGAAATATGCAAACTCATAGAAATACCCTACTGGAGTTAGTCAATAAGTTTAAAGAAATAGGCAAGGACATAAAGGATGATCATATTTCAACTTTTTTGGTTTTTTCAATGCCTAGTTCTTACGATACGTTGCTAACCGCTGTTGAAGCGAGATCAGAAACAGAACTAACCCCAGAGTTCATAAAGGGAAAATTAATGGACGAATTCAATAAGAGAGTTGAAAATAATTCTTCAGATTCAAAGGCAATTAAAGCCTTATTTCAAAATGAAACAAAGAGAAAAAGTTTGCTCATACTGCCACAAAAATAATCATTTTAGATTTGAGTGTTCTATCTAAAATCAAAACAAAATGGTGAATCGCGCCAAAATTCGAAGTAAACATACGCGGATTCTAAAAAGCGCCAAGCAAAGAATGCGTGTAATTTCGAAATGAATTAAAAAGAAACAAAAAATAAACACCAGAAATCGGCTCCAGATGTGGTGTCTTCGCTATGTCTAATAACAACATCGTACATTAGTCAGTAGAGAGTTTTGTTTTTGATATCGCGGCAAGTAATAAGAAATATTTTGCAGAGTTTGAATCCATAAATCCTTCAGACATCATAATTGCGAATGAGCAGTAATAAATCTACAGGAATAGGAAATATCTGTTTTAAAACAGTAAATCCTAAACACAAAATAACTGTTCTTTTATCGGAAGTTTTGTATGTTCCTGGATTAGAAACAAATTTAATTTCAATTAAAATAATGGAGAAAGGACTCTCGGTTCTGTTTGTATTGTTTCTGTTGTTTTATATGATCGCTGAAGCAGATCAAATTATTCTAGAATGTCATGTTACTGTTACTAAGAATCTTTACCAAATTAAACCAATCGACAGGAATAATGAACCATTAGTTCACGTAGCATTTCAGTGCAAAAATGAAAACTGTGTTCTACTTTGGCATAAGCGCCTTGGTCTCAGAAATGAAGCACAACAAGAATCAACGTCTCAAACAACTTGTAAACAAAGAAGTCGTTGAAGGAATCAGACTACATAATTGTAAACATGATACCAAATGCATAAAATGTAAAATAGTTGATTTTCCGTATTCCAAAGAATCAAAATTTAGAGCATCTAAGCCGCATGAACTCATTCACACTGACGTTTTAGGACGAGTATAAATACCGTCTGTCAGTGGTTACCTACTTCGAAACTTTTATTGATGAATATCTTATAAAACATGGTATAAATCACCATGTTTCATGAGATAAAAATCACCATGTTTTATGATCTAATTGTACCGCATTGCTTAGCACAAAAAGGAGTTGGTGAGCTCAAAAATAGATCTTTAACAGAAATGACAAGGTACCTTTTATCCGATTTAGGTCAACCCTACAAATATTGGGCAAAAGTAGTGCCGACTACAAGTTATCTACAAAACCCAATGCGAAAACAACATACGAATTTGGGAATAACAAGAAATCCAACCTCTTTCATCTGAGGACATTTGGGTGCATGGCTTTTGCTTACATCCATAAATCTAAAAGGGGTAAGCTGGATGTTACTGCTATAGAAGGAATACTCGTCAGCTATGACAGCAAAAATAAAGGCTAGAGGATTCTGTTCGATTTATTGAAGACACTGGAACTAATGCGCCTGTAAGCGTCTCTTTCAACCAAGATAAAGAAAATCCTAAGGGTGAAAGCTCATAACAAGAAGAAATAGAAATTAAAGAGCCTGAAAAAAAAAAAAAAAAAGAAATACCAGGATCCGAAGAAGAATCTTTAGAACTCAGAAGACCGAACAGAAACACAAAACGTAAACCTCCCAGTCTCAACGGATATCCTGCGAAATATCCAACCTGAAAGGAAATTTAAACTTTGGAATAAAATGGCTGGCAGCTGTTCGAGAAGAAATTAATTCATTAGAGGAAAACAACACTTGGGAATTAGTTGACTTACCAAAAGGAAGAAAAATGATAGGCAGCAAATGGACTTTCAAAACCAAGCTTAATGCAGAAGGGAAAATCGAAAGATACAAAGCCAGATTAGTTGCAAAAAGATTTAGCCAGAAGTTTGAATCTGATGAAAGCTATGCTCCTGTGGTAAAGTACACAACTCTTTGGGTTTTCCTATGTGCAGTTTCGTATAAAAACGTCTGTGAAATATATCGATTTCAAAACAGCTTTCCTTCATGGAGAACTAGAAGAAGAAATCTACGAATTCATCAACCTGAATACGAAATCAACCTGATGGATACGCTAAAGCTGAACACGAAAATAAAGCTTGGAAGCTGAAGAATCAATATATGGGCTAAAACAAGCCGCTAGACCTTGGAAACTGAAAATTGGATAAATACTTCTAAACATATCATTTAAACAAAATAAAGCAGAACCATGCTTATTTTTCAAAAACATAATGGAAAATTCACATATATTATACGTAGACGATATACTTATAGGAAGTGAAAGAGAAGAGGATGCAATGAAAACAGTCCAACAACTAAAAGCTAAACTGGAAATCAAATACCTAGGAGAAGTCACCTACTACCTCGGCATATACATCGAAAGATCTAAAGATGGAACCTTTGCCCCAAACCAAAAGAATAAAATAGAAGAAATATTTCAAAGATTCGGATTTCAAGCTGAAAATCAACTTTATACGCCAATGGAAACAAACTACTGCAAACTAGAAAATGAAGCTGATCTTCTAAAAGCTAATGCAGAATATAGACAAGCAGTAAGGGCATTACTATACATCACAACAATCAGTCGACCCGATATAGCATGCACCATCAATCTATTGAGTAGTAGAAACGAAAAACGTCGAAAAATAGATTGTAATGCTGTCAAAAAGGTCATTCGATACTTAAAAAATAACTAAAGACTTGAAGTTGGTCTTTAACAAAATTCAAGAACCTATGCAAACTGCACATTCAGATGCAGATAGGGGAAATTACAGAGCAATAGAAAATCCATTAGCGGATACATATTCAAATTAGGAAACAACTGCGTTTCATGGAGTAGCAAAAGGCAAAACTGCATTGCATTATCTTCAACTGAAGCAGACTGTGTTGCAGCAGCTAATACAACTCAAGAAGCACAAAATCAACTAATTACTCTCTATAAAGATCGCAAATCATGCAACGAACTTTTCATAATTAGAGGAAAATAGTTCTCGAACAAAAGATATAGACGTCAAATACACCTACTTGCGTGAAATTAAACAAAACGGCATCCTAAGCCTAGACCGCTGCAAAAGTTCCAACATGATCGCAGACCAGCTCACCAAACCGCTAGGCAAGCCTGTGTTCGAGAAACTTCGAAAATCGCTGCAGATGGTGATCCTGTCCATCAAGCAAGGGTGTTGGTAAGCAGTGATTAGCAGCCGCCAGTAGGGTGATAGACGATGTAATCTGGGTGTGCCACGGAAGTGTTAACGGAGTGACTCGCTCTTTCTTCCATTCTTCTCACTTCTTCACTTGGACATGTAAGGACAGTGTTAAAACTCTCCCATAATGACTAATTATTGAACGCTCTCTTAGCATATATAAATGAAAAATCTAATGAATCTTATTCAATTATTATTACGTGTAAAATAAATGTGTTTGTTTGCAATTTCGTGTGCAATCTTTTTATGGATTAATCAAGACTATGATGATGCTTGGCACTACCGAGAAGACAAGGTAAGAGATTTTTCTTTTCCTCACAAAGTTGTTAGAGAAATATTTACAACAATTACTACCATTGTTAAAAATAGGTGGGAGAAAATTTAGTAATTTCTGCACCTGCGAGCAATTTAATTAGCAATTGTCAAAATAATACTACAAAATATAAGCGTAAAACTCCCCTCCCCCAAAAAAATCACTTGACAAGGGAAACATTTTCCAATTATTGTAAGTTTATCTTCTCAAGAACGAATGTTTGTGTTTTTGTCTTCGGATTGTAACAATGCCTTTTTGTACGCTCCATTTTGCCATCATTGGATGTTCTGAGCAGAATTGAGCGAATTCGTCTTTTGCAATCAATGATTAGTGATCTGGTTAAAGAATTATTTAATTATTTGGGAAATTGATTAGAGTATTTTCTATTATTAGAAAGTACAAGTAATATAATTGATTTTCCCTCCTGTAAGTATTTTTGCATTAGTTTCATTAAAAAAATAATATCTAAACTTTTAGACATTGATTAGTTACCATTGAAAGTTAATTCATTATTAAAAAATATTTTTCTACATATTTTTATTGTTTAAAAAAATATTTTTATCGTTGTGAAAATTCTCATGAGTTTCGTAGGTTGGCAAGTATGCAGGATCATTAGTTCATCACTTTTCCTGAAATCAAGTGCCTTTTGGTGTAGTGCAGATCGCTAAAATCCTTTGACACTGCCCATGAAATTATGATTCTTGAAATGTCAGGTGAAGCCATAACTGAACGAATTACGCTTTTGCAATGTCACAGCCTGTTGACTCACACTTTGCAACATCTCGAACACTATGACCTGTGGATGAATTTGTTATCCTCCGTATAAATGAATTTCTTATTTTTGTGTGGTCAGCCGCAACACATTATTAAATCTACCTCTTTTTGTGCCTTTCATGCATTAAAAAGGTGAACTACAAAACTAATATAAAGAAGTTGCATGGGACAGAAAATTACTCTTTATTAACTTACATAACTCAATTCATAATTACTTACTTACAAATTTAAAAAAAAGAAAAGAAAGCTTCCTTGATCAAAATGCGCAACTGCATTTTGATAAAATAACAAAATCTACTTTATACGGAACAGCTCACTCTTACATTTAAATAATTCGATCATGAAACAATATATTTAATTATTTAAATGCTTTTTCCTGCATAACATAAGCAAATACACTAGAAACTACGATTCTTTATTAGTAAAGTTTACCTCTAGCAAGGCACTGATCATCAAAATAAGACATGAATATAAAACATCTGAAGATGAAATGAAACACATTAAAGACTACAAAAATTTGTAACAATAAAATGTTTTTGCACAATAGTTAAAAAATTCACTTTTTTTTGTTAAGAAAAGCAGTTAACCGCTGTTGCTTTCAAATATCCTCCTTTTCTCTTGTTTGGCTATTGAAGCACATGCGCAATGCACTCTTCCCATGCAAACTGCCAACTAATTCAGAATTTTGCGCTATGATGTAAAATATAATTAAACTTTCAAAGATTAATCTTACATTCGGCAAAATACAACTCTCTCAGTATATTTTAAATGTTACGTGTTTTTTAATGTACATTTTAAAGTAATGTACAAGCATTTTAAAGTAAAATATGAATCACATTTTTCTGTCTCTCTGGGTGCTATAGGTTTTTAAAACTTTATTCCTGCCTTCTTTCCATTTGCAATGCAATTATGAAAATAATTTTGGAAAGTACTTCACGAAAGACACCGTCCAAAGTCACGTATTTTCAGTAATATAAATTGTATTATGAGGTATTTGTAGTGTAGAGGATGTGTATAATATATGTTTGCTTTTGGCATAATATTTATTAACAAAGATTTAAATTTGTTTATATTTATTAACCTTCCTCACATATTTAACAAATTCAATCTAAATTTACAGAGAATAAGATTTGCGTTTTATTCATATTAGGAAATATGATTTTTTTTAAACTAAAGTGCATAAATTGTAAATATATTTTATAGATTAAATTTATTTTTTAAATATTTTGTTGTAATATAAAAACAAATTTTTAAGTATCAAACTGGCGTGGTGGTCACATTAATGTGACACAGCCCAGTCAGATTAATGTGACCACCTGTTACTTTCGAAGTCAGCGTGAAATAACCAATCATAGAAGGCAGGTGGTAGCATATTGCAGTGATGTGTATATAAACGATATCCGAGAGAAAGAAAACGTTGCAATCAGTGGTCTAATGCAGAAATGGAGCGGTTTATCTGGCATTCCAAAAGAGCATGATCACTGGCTTTCGGGCCAAGGGTGGAAGCATCTCCGAAACGGCTATTTTTGTAAAGTGTTCGAGCCCCGCCGTGGTAAAAGTACACTATGCATGGCAAAATGGCACTATCCAAAATCAGCGAAGTTGCAAATGTGGTACACCGCGGGCCATAGATGACAGAGGTGAAGGACGGCTGCGGAGATGCGTTCAGGCGAATAGACGTCCAACCTTTTAGCAACTGACCGCTAAGATTAACTAAGGGGCTACCAACAGTGTTTCCTCAAAGACGGTTCAGTGAACGTTGCTTCGTATGGGACTCCGCAGCAGACGCCTGGTTAAAGCATCTATGTTGACTGCAGTTATCGGCGACGAAGGCTGGAATTTGGACGCCAGTACCGCAACTAGAATGTGACAGATGGCTTCTTCACATGAATTACGTTTTACGCTCCGTCAAACAGATGGTCGTTTTAGTATAGGGCGTGAAACGTCGGAAAGCAAACACCCTACAACAATTGCCGGAAAGGTCCAAGCTTGGAGGTCTAGGGAATGTTTTCGTGGCATTCTCTGGGTGCACTGATCATTGTGGAAGGCACGATGTATAAACAGAACTAAGTACCTGTTCTTGCCGACCATGTCCACCCCTACATGCGAATTGTTTTTATCAGAATGATGGCATCTACCAACAGGGCAATGCGAAGTCTACACGAGCGTGGTTCAAAGAGCACCAGAATGAGTTTACCGTACTCCCCTGGCCAGCAAACTCCTCGAACGTAAACCCAATCGAAAATCTCAGGAACCACCTTAATCGGGTTGTTCGCTCCATGGATCCTCAACTGCGTAACCTACCGTAGCTGGCCACTTACTGGAGTCGGCATAGCTCAGCATTTCAGTGAACACCTTCAAGAACCTTATTGACTCTCCTCTTGCACGTCTGGCAGCGGCCCGCTCTTCAAAAGGTGGTTATTCTGGCTTTTGAGATGTGGTTACATCAGTGTGACTAAACTGCGTATTTTTAGCAAGCTGTTAAACAAAAATTTAACTTATGTTTTTAGTATTGATTAAATTTAATATTTTAAAACTAGTTTTATTAAATTTATATGCCATTAAATGTATATACTTCAGATTAATATAATTTAATGAAATGAAGCAATAAAAAATTACAAAATGAATCTTGTGCACAATTCAAATTCTTGAAAGGGGCAGATTTAAAGCCAGTTTAGATTTCTCCGAGTGACTTGTAGTGAGCATCTCCGTACGACTTTTCTGACAATGTAAACGTTCACTTCGCCGGGACAGAAACGTTGGGGAGATGAGTCGGCGATTCCGTTTCTGCTTCGAACCAGTTGAAAATCTATCCGGGCAGTAACTCCGATTAGTGTTCGCAGAGACGTCGTGCCAAATTTTTCCCATCATGTTGAAAATTCCGAGATGGAGTTATAATCAAACTATGACATTTTTTAATGAATATGCATTTTCTGAAGTATTACGGAATACTTCAACTACCTGAATACTACGACCATTATTTACTAATACCTAAATATAACCTGGATATAACTACTGATCAAAATGAATTTAGGTTTTTTATATTGTAGGAAAAACATAGAAGAAAATTAGATTAGGGTATCGGATTCAAAATATTTATTTTAAACATACTTATTTCTGAATTTTCTTTAATCAAAAAACAATTATATGGTATTCAACCATCCAATAAAATACAGTTTTCAATTAAAAATAATTTAAAGAGATTTTGTTGATATAAATTTCGAAAAACCAGTTTTTACTCATGGCCAATTACACCTAATAAAATATAATCTAAAATTTTGAAATTTTTTTTATAAATGTTCATTTCTATTTCAACAACTATTTAGATTTTCTTTACAAACGATCAGTCAGACGTATTAAGATAAATATCGCCGACGGAAGGCGCATGAATATATTATTAACATGT